GCAAAACTTGGCATTTATTGTAGTTTGAAAAGTACATAATGCTTAAATCAAGCAAGGAGAACAAAATGCTTGCAAATCTCCATGCATCACTATCAAGGTTGTGCACTATGATTTTACCTCTCTTATCATCACTTAGAATAGGGAGCAGGCCTAGCAAGCAAGCTAGTGATGAGTGAATATATGTAAGTTGTCTAAAGCCTAGTCTTACTAGATGCTATAATAGCACTTTTCGCCTCTTGGTTTCTTCTTGCCTGGATGTCTTTATTTCTTTCTCAGCTTTCATTTGGTGCTAATCCCTCATGTTATTTCAACTCTTGTCTCCATACTGATGCCTTCTGCATCCTGACCCCATGTCTGAGCTCCAGGCCACCTTCCTGGCGATCTCTGGCCATGGCTACATGACTGTGCCATCATGGACTCCAATAAAAATGTCAAAAACAGAACTCAGCTTTCTCAAAACTAGCGTCCCATTTATTTATTTATTTATTTAATCTTCATCCAAGGACATTTTCTCATTTATCTTCAGATAGAGTGGGAGGGGGGAGAGAGAGAGAAACATCGATGTGAGAGAGACACATGGTTTGGTTGCCTTCCACACGACCCCAACCAGGGCCCGGGACTGAAATGCAACCAAGGTACGTGCCCTTAACCAGAATTGAACCTGCAACTCTTTGGTCTGCGGGCCGACACTCTAATTGCCGAGCCAAACTGGCCAGGGCAAACCCAGCGTTCCCTTTAATCAGCAGGCTCATAGAACTCATGTGGGTCTCTTCCCTCTCTCCCTCAAGTGCAGTTATGACTGCCTACAGACAGTTCACTCTGTTTCTCCTGAATCCAGATTGTCTTCCCACTGTCTCTAGAAGTCCAGTTCCTTACTGCTAAGAAAGTGTACTCCCAGAAAAGACAAACAGCTTTAGTCTATATACCCTTCCAAAGTACACTATATACTATGCTACCACATAAACGGTTTAATGGCTTCAATCTGGCAAAAATCTTCTATCGTTCCCTATTATACTCAGGTTAAATTCACATTCTGCTCTTCAAAGCCTCCCAAAACTGGCCCCAAACCTCCACTCCAGACTCATTGCCCACCATGTCTTTATACAAACCCTCCACCCAGGCAGCCAAATTGTCTGCTCTGAACTCCCAAATTTACATTGAACTTCCCATCCCTTATGTGTTTCATACCCATCCCCTTGCCTCAACTTCCATTCTGCAATTTAAAGATAGCCATCCTTGAAGTTCCACTTCAAATTCCATGTCACTCAAGAAGCTCCCAATTTAACAAACAAAGGCCACTGCTTTCTTCTGATTTCCTGTCAATAATCCTGAGAATTGATGGCTCTCACACTGCATGTATACTGGAACAAATCTGAGGACGTGCAGATTTATTGAACTATAAGCCCCTAGATGGTGAAAATGGTCTCTTGTACTTCATACTCCCCTTGTGACCTTACACAACACAGCATTCTTGATACATCTATAAGGCAAGCACTCAGAAATTTGCATTACAAATAGAAAAATGTTTCTGAGTTTACATTGCCTCTTTAAACAAATTCCAGTAATTTATTTCTTTCCCCACAAAAGGTCCTAAGCATGGCCCTGGCCGGTTTGGCTCAGCGGTTAGAGCGTCGACCTGCGGTCCGGAGAGACCCGGGTTCGGTTCCCGCTAAGGGCACGTACCTTGGTTGCAGTTTGTCCCCAGCCCTGGTTGGGTCGTGTGGGTGGCAACCACTCGATGTGTCGCTTTCACGTCGATGTTTCTCTCTCTCTCTCTCCCTCTCACTCTATCTGAACAAAATATCGAAAAATGTCCTCGGGTGAGGATTAAAAAAAAAAAAAAAAAAAAAAGGTCCTAAGCATGAAACCATATTTAATGCTGCAAAAGTGAATGTAATGAAGGATCTTTTTAGGGTGATAGAAACACGCTATAGTGAATTGTAGTGATGTTTGCACAGCTCTGTAAATTTGCTAAAAATCATGGAATTGTATACTTAAAATGGGTGAATTTTATAGTATATAAATTATACTTCAATAACATTGTTTAAAATAAAAAGTAAATGTAGGTCCATGTATCCTTAATTTAAATAACTGTAAAAAAGAAAAAAGGATTCTCTATACAGCTGCATGATACTAAAATAGACATTTAAATGTAATTTATGTTTTTCTAATTATGAAAATAGGCTCATTATAAAAAATTTAAATACAAAAAAGTAAAAAGAAAGTAAATGTCAGCAGAAATCCACAACGTAAGATATAACTCTGATGAGATAGTCAAATAACTATCATACTATTTTGTGGCCCTTTTTTTTGCATTTATCTTCAGATAGAGTGCAAGGGAGAGAGGGAGGAAGAGAGAAAGAAACATGGATGTGAGAGAGATACATCGACTGGTCGCCACTCACACAACCCCAATCAGGGCTGGGGACAAACCACAACCGAGGTACGTGCCCTTATCGGGAATCGAACCCGGGCCTCTCTGGTCGGCGGGCTGACACTCTAACCGCTGAGCCAAACTGGCCAGGGCTTTGTGGCCTCTTTTCATTTAACAATATGTTATGACATGTTTGGGGATCAATAAATATAACATCTATATCACCCTTTTAATGACTATGTAGTATTCTATTGAATGAATGAACCATAAAATATTTAAAGACTCCTATTAATGGATATATATGTGTTCATAATAGAAGTCTTTTTTTTATATTCCTCACCCGAGGATATTTTTCTATTTATCATCAGATAGAGGGGAAGGGAGGGAGAGAGAGAGAGACAGAGAGAAACATCGACGTGATAGAGCCACATCAACTGGTTGCCTCCCACACCACCTGACCAGGGCTGGGGCCGAACCACAACTGAGGTATGTGCCCTTGACCGGAATCAAACCCACAACTCTTTGGTCCACAGGCCAACTGCTGAGCTAAGCTGGCCTGGGCCTTAATAGAAGTCTTTATACACATATCTTGCATACTCGTCTGGTTATTGCCTTAGGATACATTCTTAGAAATGGAATTTATGTGTCAAAAGATTTTCACATTTTGCCTGGTCAATGTGGCTCAGAGGACTGAGCATCGTCCCGTGGACTGAGAGATCGTGGTTGGATTTCTAGTCAGGGCACATGCCCAGGTTGCAGGCTCAATTCTCAGTAGGGGGAGTGCAAGAGGCAACCGATCCATGTTTCTCTCTCATATGGATGTTTCTATCTCTCTCTCCCTTCCTTTCTCTCTCTAAAAAAAAAAATTAATTAAAAAGAAAAGGTTTTCACATTTTTATTTTGATACTCCCAAACTAATACAATTTAATTATTATTATTTTGTTGTTGTTATTAATCCTCACCTGAGAATATTTTTCCATTGATTTTTTTTTTTAAGAGAGAGTAGAAGGGAGTGTGGGAGGGAGGGAGGAAGAGAGAAACATTGATGTGAGAGAGACATGACTGCTTGCCTCCAGCATGGGAGGGAGGGAGGAAGGGAGGGAGGGAGGGAGGGAGGGAGGGAGGGAGGAAGAGAGAGAGAAACATTGATGTGAGAGAGACATGACTGCTTGCCTCCCGCACAACCCTGACTAGGGTCAGGGATAGAACCTGCAACCCAGGTATGTGCCCTTGACTGGGAATCGAACCCACGATCCTTCAGTCCAAGGGCCAACACTTTTAACTGCTGAGCCAAACCAGCCAGGGCTCAAACTAATACAATCTTAAAACCCTAACTTTCCCTCTCCTTTTTCCTGGAGATAGCCCACCTTTACCACCTTTCCTGGAGATAGCCCACCTTTACCAGAGCAAAGAAGGATTTTCCTGGCCACAGACCTCTAACAAATGGAAGAATCCTTTGAACAACTTATATTTTTGTACTAATTTTTTGTTTTTATTCTCAACCACAGCTCACTTTGGATACTAGTGATATTCAAACTGGCCAGGAAAGTAGAGTGCTCCAAAAGCATTAATCCATGTGTCTCTCTCTCTTTGCAAAATGTTACAAATCTCACCCTTGTGCTCAGCTGACCTTTCTCTTAGGTCATTTACCATAGGACCTCACTCCAGTCACTCACTTGGTCTCCCTCCATTCAGACCCAAGAGGAAAAGAGGCCCAGGCTTGAGCAGGACAGCTAATGCTATAGCTGCAACGAGGCAGAAAATAACTGGAGAAAGAGAAATATCCTCTATGAGTCGTGTTCTCAGCAGAAAGAGACACAGTGGGTCATGTGCTCTGAGCCATACCATCTCCTCAGTCCCTGCAGCTGCAGTAAGTTCAGGGTGAGGAGCATGTGCTAGGTGATTGCTGATTAAATCTGGACAGCATGCAATAGGGAGATTGTGCTCCTGAGAATCCAGAGTTTTGACCAAGCACCATAGCAATGACCTGGGGAACTCAAGATAATCTCGCTTTCAAAATTCCCCAATCAATGAAGAAGGGAGGGAAAGACACTCATGGTGGCCCCGCCAGACAGGGGTTCATTTCCATTTACTCCAAACATCTCAGCCTTTCCTTCCCCATCTGTTCAGCTGGTGCATATCACATGTGCAACAGAGCCACACATAAAGGATGAGATGCAGCCCCCACAGCTGTATGGGGTCTCTACTACTAAGGCACATTTTTTCTTAAAAAGCTCTTCCTTCTATTCTAACCTTTGTGTCTTTCTGTCTAGTTCAGCTCCAAGAAAGAAGCCGGTCTGAAGCTTCTCACCTGACCCCTTACTATGCCACCATAATAAAAGTGGTGTCCATTCCCTACCTATCCCCACCTCCAGCACCACCAGAAGTAGAAAGCCACATTTCTCTAGATGGGGTAGATGAAGCATGGGGAATCAAGAAAGGAAAAAGGCCTGCTGGCCCCATATTCTGTTTCATCAAGCCTACCCACAGTGTAAAGAGGATCAGAGAAAGCATAAGATGAAGAGCCTTGCCTTTAATGCTGTCTATAAAAGCAGGCAAGCTCCTGCCTCAACATGCATGCTCTTCAGCCTGTACACAGTGGCTCCAGCTCCCAGGGCAAGTGTGCACATTTTCTAAAGTGTACTGACCTTAGATGGGGCTGCTCTTTCCAGCCTGCTGTGAAAATCAAAATACTATACCATGACCACATGGCCATTGTTCCAGAAGCTGGATTATGGCTTTGCTGTAGGAAGGAGCAAAGGAGGAAACAGCATGGTAAGCTGAGCAGGACTAGAGAGAAGTCTGGACACAAGAACATGGAAAAAGAGTGAGTGAGTGAGTGAGTGAGTGCGTGCGTGAGTGAGTCTGTGTATGGGGGGGTTATCACAGGAAAATATGATTTATAATTATTCTAATCACATAACAGGTTCTCTCTCATTACATGAAATTCCCATTTGCAAATTAAGACACTAGAAGATTTTGAATGTTATCACATCCCAAATGGCACTCCTCCTGCCCCTCCTATACTTTTTTGTTCCCCATCCATGGTTTAAATTTGCATTGCAAACTATGAAAAAGGAAAGCTTCTGTACAAAACAATTTCCTGGGCCAGCAGCTCTTGGACTAATATTCACTTTGCAATTACCATGGCTTCTGTATGCACATACACCCTTCCCTCCTCTCTCCACATCTCCCTCCCTTGCCAGCAACTTGTGCCCAAGTCAAACCTGTCTGTCAGATCATGTTATAAACTACCCCCTGTGAAAATGCCCTGGCCTGAGAGGAGCAAGAACCAGTTGCAGCAAGAAAAACAGCAAGAATCTTGGGTAGCCAGCTTAATAGGGCACCCCAGAGGCACAGGGGTTTCATCTGTAGCACACAGGCATGTAACTTTTACAAAAGATGGCAAATAAAATCCCTGCCCCCCCAAAGTTCACAATCTGAAACTTCAAGAGTCCTATTACTGCTAGAAGAAGTAACTGCTGGAGAGGCACAAGGATTAGCAGCTGTCCAATTCATAAAGCCAGAGATCTTCTAATACTGGTCTGAACAAAGAGCCAAATACATTTGTTGGCTTGCTGAGGCATAAATGTACCTCTATGGTCATTATACATAAAAACTCTAGTCAACGCAGAATTCAGAATCAACACAGACCTTTATGATTCATAGCATCTTTACAGCCAGTTTGCCATATCAATGGTGTCGACATATTCTATTGGTGGTATACATGGATGTCTATTCTCTTTCTTGATGGTGTGAGGATAATGTTCCAGCTCTTGGGTTCCAATCTCCTAACCCCTCAAATGGAACTACTATAATAAAGACACTTACTGAGACTCACTGATACAGGGAAATGGTCATGGGCAGCAGAATTCCTGTTCTTAGGTCTTAAGCCCATGACCAAGTAGAGCCATGTGTGACTGTCCTGAACTTGGAGAACAAAAAAAATATAGCTGACACTATGAATTGTCATCTGGAGATCCAAGGACAAGGACTCTGACCGATGAAAAGTAGGAAGCAAATTTTCAAAAAATTTGGCTTGAAATTAAAAAGAAAACAAGAAATTTAAGATTAGACTCCAAACTAAAATACTGAAATTTGCCCCAAATTGCCAGAGCCCCCCCTCTAATTGCAGGAGGATGGGGCAATCCCTCCACCTCTGACATGACCCCCAATACACAAACATACATTAATGCTACTGATCCAGCCACACCCCCACCATTGCCTTTTCCACTCAGGCCCATACCAACCCCCAGTCTACTTACAAGAGTAAGCTCCATGGCTCAAGAAACTAAAAACCCAGATATTTCATGAAGATCCCTCCTTTGACTGATCTGAGTGTTATAGCTAACAGGTGGGGAAATCTTCTTAAATATATGAGTATTATCATGACAGAGCCACTGGAACGGATCGGTGCCATAAGTCAGACAGGACTAGAAGTTTCCGCCCCACCATCAGGTTCCTCTTTAGCCTTGACAGATCAAACTTAAGCCGAAGCAGGCAACAGAGATCAGTTCAGTCTCCGAGCCAAAGGTCTTCACAGTGAGGGACCAAAGCTGCCCTGGCTGGGCCTCTGCCGGCCCGTGTGCCAGATTAATCACCACTAGGCAGGGCCTGGACACCAGGCTGCAATCTGAGCCCAGCAGCACCTGCACAGGGGTCACCCTGGCTCCTCCCTCACTCCCCTTGGGCAGGACTCCAGGGCATGAGGGTGTCCACCTGTTGACTAGGTTACCTGGAATAAGAGGGCAAGATACTCAGCCATCTTCAATCCTGCAGATAAGTCAGAAACTGTTTGAGTGAATTAGTGAAGGGAAAAAGAAAGATGTCGTGACTCAAAAAGTGAAGTCAAGGTTCCAAGAGAAAGAAAATTCTCAGCCTCTGAACAAAAAGAGAAAAAGGCCCAACGCCCCTCTCATTACTGTCTAGAGAAGAAAGCCAGCTCAACACCAAAAATGGGTGAACTAAACCCGCAGAGGTTATGAACTAACGAGATGCTTTGTGAGTGGTTTAGTGCACATTCTCATCATCTACAGAACAACGGGATGCTAAAGAGAAGCAGAGAGACCAGAGCAGGAATATCTTTTCAACTGCAACCCTTCCACAAATGCTGCCAGATATGCTAGTGTAAAGGGAGCTTAGAAACAAATTCATTCTGTGAGGTGTAGGAGAGCTTCCTGTGAATGCCAAGACCTGGGAAATGGTTTCCTCAAAGATCGCCTAAATCAGTATGCCATTTCACTCAGAGCTGACAACTCTGGTGTGTGCACACATGTCTGTCTATTCTAAAAGGCACTTTATAGGACCGAAGAGTCCTATTATATTGTAAATTCTTCTCAGATGGTAATCTCTTTTATATTGTTGCTTCTCTGAGTAGGAGGAAGTATTCTTGAGGCTCAGAAAAATAAATAAATAAAAAGGAGGAAGATAAGCATGAAGATCTGTATCTTAGAAGAATCTATCCCAGGCCCTAACCTGTGATATAAAGAGAAACCACTCATGGATGCACCCTTTCCCACATGCCGCATGGCCCCAGGGAAAGAAAGGTGGGGAGGGGTCAGAGTCAGATTGAAGTGTGTGTCCCTTAAAAGAGCAAAGAAAAGCACAAGTCAGATAAGAGGAGAAAGAGCTCCTACACAGTGCCATCATTTGAGGAGGAACACCCACATCCTGACTGTTACACCTTGTACCTCCAGAGCTCCATCTCCAGGAATTCCCTTTGAACTCCAGCTGCAACCCAGAGTTAGGATAGAGCAGTGGCTACAATTACACACTTGCTTGGAAAAAAGGGGGGGGGGGACACGCATGTGACAGGCCATGAAAGGTCCCTGCCTATAAAACAGACTGGAAAACAAACCCTTAATTTAAATGTTAATGAAAGTGCTGTGGAGACATCAGAGGCTTCCCGGCTGCTCAGAGAACAGCTACACCAGCCACAGAATTTATGGCTCCCCTTCACCCTCCCGCCTCCCTCTCTGCCTCATCACCCACTAAAGTTTAAAGAGTAAAAAAAAAAAAACAACAACTAATTTTAACATTAACTCCATGCTTCCACCTTGGGATGTGATTGCTAAATTATCTGTCGGCAGAACAGTGATCAAAGGTGGAAAAACACAGGCACATTGCACACACAACCCAGAAAAGTCATCCATAGCTGCAGCAGGAAAATTACCTTCTCTCTCTCTTCCTGATGCGAGAAGAGAAGAAACAGCGGTGCAGGCGGGGACTGGAGCCGGAAGGTGCAGGCAGTATGAAGAAGAGAAAGAAGATTCTGATCCCTCCAGTGTGCTCTGTTCCCCCATCTGAGAACTCAGCACACAGATTACCCATTTAACTGGTCTGTCTCTCCATCAGACTATGCTGTCTAGTTCACTGCTGTTTCCCCAGGGTCTAGCACATAATAATGTTTAAGTATCTGGAGAGAGAAAGATAAACTGGGGAAGGGCGGCAGGTGGGAGAAAGACAGAGACAAGAGACAGAGAAAGAAAGAACTGAAACGCTGAGACAGAGTGGAAATGTATCCCTGCTGGCAGGGACAGGGTCTCCATGCATGGACTCTGTCTCCAGCCTTATGCAGTAGCCTCTGTTTCTATTTGTGGTATTTTACTTAAGTCAGCTCTTGACAACTGAGCCAACCTTGCTGGCCAGGGAAGGAGTTGCTCCCACAAATGGGTTCTGGGCCAGCCAGGGCTGGCTGAGTGGCTGGTCTCAGGCCAGCAGCTCAGCACATGAGCCTCCCTGTGCCCATCCTGGCCTGGCTAGTGGCAGAAATCCAGAGTCTTGAGGAAATGAAACCCACCCCTGTCCCTGTGGCATTTCGTCCTTGCTAATGATGGATATACCCACCGGAGAGGCTTGGCTTAGCACAGGCAATGAACTCTAGGGTGGCGGGCACTGCCCTGAGATTCAGCAGGACCAGACTCTGATCCAACTGTATCGCCACACTGATCCTTTTCCAATTTTTGGTCATGTCAGGTTGGACTAAGGGGTCCAGCTAGCATTACCCAGAGCTTCCTTCTTTTTCTAGGTGTCATGCCTCCCCTTCCGGCTATGCCAGCCTCTGGCCCCTCCATGGTGCCTTTGTGTGTTGACTCTCTCATCTGGGGGCACCACATGCAGGAAGCTCCGTCCTGTGTGTTCTACAGCCTGGCAAAGGGGAACACTGAGCCTCCTCTTGTCTTAGGAAGGTCTCCCTTCCCCAAACAGGCCCCAGAGGAAGCTTCCCTCTTGCCCCAACTCTGGGAAGGAGCCTTCAGGAGAACCAATCACAATGTGAAACATGACAAAGTCAACCATCAGAATATTTTTTCAGGTTATCAAGGTTAAGGATCCTCTTCAAGACCCAGCTTTCCATTGCCAACCAGAAAAAGCAAAACTCAGAGGTACAACCATTAGTTTTGATTCGTCTTCTCCTAAAGCACTGAGTGAGTTATGAAGCTGACAGCCAAAGGGTTGCTGAACCACTAGGAACCAAAAGAATCCAAACTGAACGCTGGCTGCTTCTTTTTCCAATCTTTCAAACCTCTCTGTCAGGGAAAACTCCAGATGCAATTACCTTTCACTAAAGAAAGGTGCATTTCAGCAGGCTAGTGAATATGCATCTACCCCACACACAACACACAGTGAACCCTGTAGCCACTGGAACAAACACCCTGCTCTCCCAAGAAACCCACCCCCTTACCAAACAGTACACAGTGCCTGCTTTCCTTCCAGACTCTCCCTCACCTCTGGGAAAAATGAAGCAAGAAGGGGCAGCTGCTCCATCAAAACCCCCCAGAGGCCGCAACTCACTTTACGAATTTGAATCGGTACATTTCATGCAGACTTGGACTAATCCGCCAAAAAACAAACAGGCCACCACAGTGAGCAAAGTAACACAAAATTATATTGTATATTTAATAACACAGCTAAGTCATGTTTCTACACCTATACCACTCATATATTTCCCTAATGATAGAAACAAGAAAGAAGGGATTAAAACCCAAGTGTCCTGGGAAACCTTCCTGACCACACTCACTCACACGATAGCAAGCATTGTTTGGAGATGGAGAAAGGATTCTGTTGGGCACCTCCTTTTTCTTGAAGGGCAAGAAATATGGCATTTGTGGGCTCCTCTCTCTTTCTCTCCCAGGCAACCAAGGCAAGTAGGTCTACATATTTATTTCGCCGCCAGGACCCCCACAGCTGACTTAGAGTGAGTGGGTCCTGCAAACTGAAAATCTGTGAGCATCCACACTGCTGAACTGCGGCAAGCATTTACAACTACCTGCGTGAGCCCAGGCCTCGGCCACACACTTCCTTCCACCACCTCTCTCTATCTCAGCTCTAGCCTCCAGGAGACGAGAATGTTCCCCAGTCTCTACAGAGCCCTTCAAGGGTCACAGCTACTAGCCAAGATACTAGTGGTGAAAACATGGCAATGATCTAGGGCCTGCCTCGTGGTTCTCCCTCAGTCCACAGGGCATGCAACAGGCCAGAGACCTTGGCACCAACTGCTGCCTCTTCTGCCCCATCCCACATGTGCCCTAGATTGAATGTCTGTAAGCCTGGATTTCTCCCTCTGCTAGGAATGGCACCCCTCTTTCCCCACAATCAAAGTCAGCCTAGTTTCAGGCACTTAATATCGTCTGGCAACCATTACAGTTATGTACCCATCTTGTCCCCACCACTGAATAGGATCTTTGAGGGAGCTGCCTCATAGCAAGTTTTCAGTCAGTGCACAGGGAGAAAGGAAGAAAGAGAGAAAGAAAGGAAAAGATGGAAAGTAGAAGGAAATGAAATTAAGTCTTTAACAGTTCTGCATTTCCTCACCCTTGAGTATTTACTAACTTTATCCAGCTGGAAATAATTTTAAATGGCAACAAAACATAGTTCACATTTTTAAAACTCTGTTTTTCCGTGTTACTCATAGAAAAGTGCTCAGAATCCAGTGTGACCTCAGGAGGTTATATCTCTGAGACCACCTGGACTGAATGTACTCAGTCCCACAAATACACTCAGACGCATGCCCTTACACCCCAGGCATGCCTCCAGCATCTCACTTCTGTTCCATTTCCACCCACTCTTCTTTCACTCACTGACACTTCTTTCACTGAGCCTCCTCTACAAGAGGAGGGCTTCCTCTATAAAGTCATGAATTTTAAAAACAAGATTATTGCTATAAGAGCAAGAAGATGAGTAAGAGGGTAGAGTAAAAGGTCCTTTTCTGCTATCCTGCTGTGGAGACTACTAGTTTTCCTTCTGTGTTTTTTGAGTACCTAAACACAGCTCTTAGCACATAACTGGTGTTAAATATCATCTTCCATGACTGTTTACGAATCGAGAACTCCAGGTCATGGAAGGAAGAAAAGACGACATTTAGACATGGGAAAAAATACCAGCTTTCTTCTAGTCATGAGCACCTCAAAATAAGCCTAGTGCTTGAGGTTTCATGTTTCATGCCCCAAGTATCTAAAACACACATAAAGAAAGAAGACAGAAAAGCCCCAGCATCAGATAAATATGATAAATAACTCAGACATACTGTTTTAAATAGAATAAAGAGATTAATTAAGAGAAGGGATGTGCCAGGTCTCCTAACTGTCCAGGTAAACCAGGAGTATCTGCCCTAGAGGATAGCTGCTCCCCATGTTCCCCTCCCATGTTCTTCATGAGGGGTTCAGAGTCTCATCACATTAGTGACACTGATGACTATATTCAACAGGGAAGGTGGCAGGGAGGGGAACAGAAGGAAGCCATCAAGGGCAGGAACACTATAGGAGGAAAAGGAGAGGAA